TATTTATTTATTTATTTTTTGCATTTATCTTCAGATGGAGTGGGAGGGAGAGAAAGAGGATGAGAGAGAGAGAGAGAAACGTCCATGTGAGAGAGACACATTGACTGGCTGCCATGCACATGACCCCAACCAGGGCCGGGAACAAACTGCAACCAAGGTACCTGCCCTTAGGGGGAACCAAACCCGGGTCTCTCTGGTCTGCGGGCCAATTCTCTAACCACTGAGAAAACTGGCCAGGGCTGTTTTTATTGATTTTAGAGAGAGGAAGGGAGAGAGAGAGAAACATCCATCGGTTGCCTCCTGTACATGCCCTGACTGGGAATCCAACCTGCAACTTTTGGTGAAGGATGGTGCTCCAACCAACTGAGCTACCCGGCCAGGGATAGGAGGACCTGGCTTTATGTGAAAAGTGTCACTGACCATTTGCTGGAAAGCAAAGCCTCATCTCATTGCACACTTACCTACCGAGTTCATCCAACATCCAGCCACAGTTTTTTAGTTCTTACTGTGTGTCAGGCATTTCCCATGGACTGTTTTGTTTCATTTTGACAACAAACCTGCGAGGAGGTGATGTCAGCTGCTGAAGGCAGAGCAGGGATCTCCAGCCTGGTTTTCTAGCTCCTGATCACAGCCACCTTGCAGCCAGTGCTGGGCTCTGCTTGGTGTTCTCTTGCATTTGTTCCTCAAGGGTTTGGAATATATTAGAAACGTGGGGAGAGTTACAGGGACATTTGTTTGGCCCTCTGGATTCCTAGAGTGGAAACTAGAGTCTTATCTGTATTAAAATCTTACAGCCTGAAACTTAGTCTGTCCTCAACTCCCCACCCCCAGTTGTTGTTATCAGTCCAGCCTTACTAAAGGCCATGTGGAGGAGGCCAGAGGGGCGGGTAATGCCACTGACTAACCTGCCCCCTGGGCAGAGACTCCACTGAAATAAGTAGCATTTATTGAGCACCTTCTGTGTGACAAGTACTGCTTTTAGGCACTTTCACTTATGTCATTAATCCCCAAAACAACTCTGAAGAGTAGATATTCTTTTTTTTTTATTTCCCCCCTAGACACCCTCCTCCCCATCCTGCCCCCCCCCTTCCCCGATATTCTTATTTTATGTCTGGAGAGACTGAGACTGAGAGAAGGCAAGTAACTTGCCCAAGATCACACAGCGGTTTTTGTCAGAGTCCGGGATTTCAGTTCAGGACTTGCTGACCTCAGTGCTTCTTGCAAACTTTTAAATTAACCCTAACCCATGCTGGTTGCTTCCAGGAAGGGAAGAGAAAGGCAAATATGAAGAATGGCTAGGGTTAATTCTAATCCCTTGTCCACTTCCCTCCAAGGCACCATTGCCACAGCTTCCCTGCCAGTTGTACTAAAAAAAAAAAAAAATTGTTTTGGCTGTCCAGGTTTCCTCCGTAAATTGGAGCAGCATCTGGTCTTTGCAGAGAGCCAGGCATTCCAGGAGCCCATAACCGAGGGTCTGGATGACTCCTGGTTTGAGCGACCAGCTGGCACCAACTCCCCTGGGAGTGTGTAGGCAAAGTCTGATCTGCAGACCTGTTATTCATTTCCCTAAATTAAGAGACCCAGGAAAGTGGTTCTTTTTAGAGGCCCCAGAATTTATCTGAATCCCAAGTCTGCAGCCCCTTCTTTAGTGTTCCAGTAATGATGCTGTTTCCATTTGAGAGCCCGCCCCCATCTCATGGAATCCTGGGGAAGCCAGGGCAAGGCCCCCTCCCAGGCACCCACAGTGGGGGAGGGAGTCTCTGTCTTGGTATATACTCCACAGTCTCTCCTCCGGAATCTAAATCCAAACTGTGCTGGAAATGAATGGTTCGGTCATAAGTTTGGAATCGAAACTCATTAGTGGCAAAAACCGGACTGGACCTTATTTATCTCTCTTAGTGTGAATATGTATAGGTTTGCTGCAGAATGGGATTGTGGTGTGCTGCTGCTGCTGCAGGGTGTTAGGTAAGATGTGGTATATACATCACCTATTCTTTCTAAAATCCAAAACACTTTGGAATGTGGCCCCATAGGTTCCAGTTAAAGGGAGTGGCCTCGTTGTTTTATATACCCTGGGTTGAAGCAGGAAGGACATCTCCGGACCAGGAAGCAGATGGCTTACTGAGATTCATAAAGAGAGCCTTCCCAAGCCTCTGTGGTCACACTAGGTGCCTGACTTCCATCACCTGTGTGTTCATTCTTTGCTGTTTTCTCTGAGAGGTGGATGAAACCAGAAGTAGCTTATACCTGTATGTAGATTAGTCCTTTTAGATGTTTCCTCTGTGGGAGAAGGCAGCTTGAGACAAGTGGGTATTTGGAGAGGGTGACCAAGAGCTAACTGGAAGGAAAATGGGACAGCACAGAGGTCTCAGGCGGGCCCTGGGTAGGGCGGTAGTCAGGGAGAGCCTGCAGGCGGTGCTGGGTGAGATGTAAACACACCAGAGAGCCAGGCCAGGACTGGCCCACAGCCCAGCTCCTTTCTCGCGGCTCTCGGAGCTTGACTGCACCGAGCACAGCCATCTAGTGGCCTTCAAATTACAGAAATCCTGTCGGGGCTGTCTGGGTCACCAGGGGGAGGCCCTGCACACTGGCTTCCCAGCTCCCCCAGGAGGGTCCGCGCAGAAACGGCAGGTGCCAAACCCGGTGTTACCAAAGGTGTGTCCCACCTTGAGTGGGACCAGTAATCGTTTTTCTAATGGAGCTGGCCATTGTCGGGTGGAGAGGCCGGGGGCGTCTGAGGCTGCGTCTTTCCCATTTTCAGGGGGTCCGGTTATTTACAAGTGAAGAAATGCCAAAACATGGTCACACACATTCGGGTCAAGTTAAAGTTGTGCGTGGACGGTGCGGTCATTATCTAATCCCGCATAGCGCTCTGTGACCGCTGGACTGTTTGGGAGCGGGGGTGGGGGTGGGGGTTGGGATGCGAGGCGAGGCGGCTGGGGCGCCCCCTACCGGATGCGGCCGGCCGCGCTCAGCTGCGGATTCGGGGCTGCCGCGGGCCGTCGGGGCCCTCATTCCGCCACCTGGCGGCGGCGGCAGGAACCGCGGGGGCGCGCCGGCTCCGAGTCTCGCCGGCTGGGCCGGGGCCTCCCGGCGGCCGAGGCAGCAAAGGGTTAAGCTGTCAGCGGCGAGATGTTAAACAGGTGTCAAAGGCGCCCCATATATCTGCAGATTGAAATCAAATTCTTTGCCGTATAAAAAGATAAATTACCCAGGCGCTGCCGCGCGTCCCACTCATCACGCCAGCGCCAGACGGCAAGCAATTTTTTTTTTTAATGTGCTAACGACCTAATCAAGCAATCAAGTCTGAGAAGATTGCAGAGTGACCGGGGCAGCCATCTGCCGGCGAGCCCCGCATTCATTTCCTGCGCCCCCGCGCGGGGCGGAGCCGGGGAGGGAGCTGCCGGGGGAAGGGGGGAAAATCCTAAACAAATTAACACCCAATTTTCCCCGTCTAATTAGTTAAATGAGAAGTGTTTGGGGTCCCCCGGGGAGGGGGAGCGGCTCGCGGCGCAGCCCGCGCTGCCTCCCCAGCATTAATTAGTGCGGGTCAATGCCGCGGCTCCCGGGGGAGCAGCCGCTTTAATTTCCCGTGATATTTCAGTGCCTGAGGCCCATCGATTCAAACTGAAATTAACTTATTTTTCAATCAGCCCAGGGCTGCCCCTGGGGGTGACTCTTCTTTTGCCGCCTCCTGAATAGAGCTGGAGCAATTTTTCATCAAAAGCTGAAACCTCCGCTGCCGAGGGCAGGGAGGGGCCGGAGGGAAGCGGGGACCAGGCCGAGGGGAGGGAATGGAAACCACAGAGGAAACTAATAGATTTCTCCAACTCGCCTCTGCCCTTCCCTCTTTTTTCTGCTTCCCGGGGCTCCTTGCCACTCTGGGAGGTCAGGCCCAAAGGCCTGTGAAGGAACAGCAGGAGCTCGCTGGGCCCGGCGTCCTTCCGGCGCCCACGAGTTTCCCTCCGGCGCCCACGAGTTTCCCGCGGGCTCCCGCCTACTTGAGGGACAGACAGTGCGGCTGACCCTGACCCTGGCTCTGGCTCCTGTCAGCTGCTGGGAGTCTCCGGAAAGCTGCTTTGGAGACCCAGAAATCTCCCCTCCCCCAAGCAGGGCAGGGACCCTGGAAGCTCCTCCATGCAGGGCTGGAGAGGTCCAGGCACCCCCAGGACAACCCCCGGCCCCCATTCAGACCAGTCAGTGTGGGGACCAGGGAAAAAACCTTCCCTAGAATGCCCCCCACCACACTTTTCTAGGTCCCCACTCCTATTCCCTTCTCACACCACTGAGGATTTCATCTTCTCTGACTGAGGGATGGCTGCCCAACTCCCCCAAATATCATTCTGTGGAGAGCAGGCGAATGGAGGCACTGTGGGGTGGCAGGGCTCCGGACAGGACAGGACAGGAGGGAGCTGACTCAGGCCTCTGGGAGCATCCCCAACTCTGCTTCGGGGCTGGGGCAGTTCCCGAGCTTCATGATACCTGGATGAAATGCCCCTTGCTCCCTGAGTCCGCCTGGCAGCCTTCCCGAGATGCTCCGGTCTCTGGAGTTCCAGTGCAGAGGGAGCTCTGAACACTGCTAGTCCAGCCGCTGGAGAGGACTTTGTCCCTCTGCAAGTCAGAAGAGAGGTTCTGTTTGCACCCTGAAGGTGTGAGCACTCTCAACAGGCTTCTCAGCTGCAAACGAGGACCACCTGCGAGGCCTTGTCCCAGAGGCGTCCCTGTCCCATCAAAAAAAAGACCCGTTTCATCCATCGGCCTCTCACAGAACTTGGGTCCTCGTTCTGGTGGATACCTCTGAGCCTGGAGGAGGCCCCTGGGTACTCTGGAGTAGGTGGACTTGAGTAAGCATAGCCATCTGGAGAAGCCAGCAGTCACAAGGGTCTGGGGCCACTGGCCATGCACAGGATGGGGACCTTAACTCCAGACAGACAAGGAGGTAAAGGCCTGGGCCCAGTGCCTCCCAGAGCACACCCTGACCCGTTCGTCCACACCTGCAGGTCTGGTTCCAGAACCGCAGAGCCAAGTGGAGGAAGCGAGAGAAGTGCTGGGGCCGGAGCAGCGTCATGGCAGAGTATGGGCTGTATGGGGCCATGGTGCGGCACTCCATCCCCCTGCCAGAGTCCATCCTCAAGTCGGCCAAGGATGGCATCATGGACTCCTGTGCCCCATGGCTGCTGGGTAAGAGCCCACACCCTCCTTGGGGCCCCGCCCCTGCGGCAAGGAGAGTGGGCTTCCCTGAGGAGGGTACAGAGCCCTGGAGCCAAGGGACCTGGCCGCAGCAGCCTAGCAGACGGGAACGCCCTCCAGGCAGGCCTCCCTGGCTCCCTTGGGGGGCTCTGAAGACAGGCTGGGCCTGGGGCTTGGTGTCTATCTCTTGAACCCACCTAAGGTGCCTAGGACGTTCATCCTGGTCCCTGACTGTGGGTTCTTTTGTCCTGTGAGAAGGGTATGACTGTTGCCCCAGGTCTGTACCCCCTTCTTCCCTTGTGGGAGATGGGCTTATGATGAATTAAACTGCCCCTCTTGGGGGTTGGGGGACCCCTAGGTCCCTTTGGCCACCATTCTGGCTTTGCCTGAAGGACTTCTTCCCTCTAAATCTCTCCATCTGCCATCTGGGCCTCTGTCCGATAGCAGCACCAGCCTGTCTGGGGTTGTAAGATCTGCAATCCTAGCAGGGAGTGATGGAGCAAGTGCTGTGCTTGGGAAGGGACAGAACAGGCTGCCAGGGGGACCGGTGCCCAGGGGCTTGGCCTGGAGCAGCCCCCTGCAGGCCTGGTGCCTAGCTGCTGGCCTGCGGCCCTCCCGCTGCCCCGGCCCCAGCCCTGGGACTCGCGTGACTGCGGTGTGTGAAGCAAGGCTTTCTGCTTGTCCTTAATTCTGGCCTCTCTCTATCTTTGCCGTTTTCAGTTCAAGATGGCTTTCCCAGGCGCTTTTCTAAACCCGAATACCAACACTTCTTTTTAGGAATGCACAAAAAGTCGCTGGAGGCAGCAGCCGAGTCGGGGAGGAAGCCCGAGGTGGAGCGCCAGGCCCTGCCCAAGCTGGATAAGATGGAGCAGGAGGAGCGGGGCCCCGACCCCCCGGCAGCCATGTCCCAGGAGGAACTGAGGGAGAACAGCATTGCGGCGCTCCGCGCCAGAGCTCAGGAGCACAGCACCAAAGTGCTGGGGACTGTGTCCGGGCCCAACAGCCTGGCCCGGAATGCCGAGGAGCCTGAGGAAGAGGAGGCCATGGACGAAGACCGGCCAGTGGAGAAGCTGAGTCCGCGGCAGCTTGAGGACGTGGCTTAGGTCAGGGGGCGCTGCCGCTGGAGCCCCAGGACTCTGCTCTTCTCGGGACCTGTGTGCTGGGAGGTGTTCTCCGAGGCAGGGCCCAGCCTGGCCTTTGCCACCCTCCCCTGCCCCGTAGGCCCGTCACGTCCCCCCGGGTGATTTCAGACACAACTCAGTTCTGGCCAAGGCTATGCTGAGACATCCCCTACCTAGTCTTGACCTCGCCATCCTCCTCCTCATCCCAACTGCCTCAGAAGCCTTTTCGCTGCCCCAAACCACCCCCTCGAGCCGCTCTCACTCCTTGGCGACTCTCCCTGTCCACATCCATCCATCACTCTGTTCTCTTGCTCTAGGGCCCTCTTCCCAGCTCTATCCCCTGTGCATTCTGCTCCCCCAGGCCCAAGCCCTTCGCCTGCCACGGCCCTGGCAGGGATTGAGGACCTGCACTTTAGGGCCCTGTCCTGAGCACCCCAGTCCTCAGCCAAATTCTGCTCCCCTCAGCCTGTTCCTGCCCCGGGCCCGGGCCTTCACCATGTGAATGTACCACCATGCAGGCCCAGGTACAGCCTCTGCTCCGCCCCATCAGTGGGTCCCGGAGTCCAGATTAAACTTGGGAAGTCTCAGCCTGGGCCCCTCGGCCACCCTCCATCCATGCCCTCCGTGGTCACCCTCAGGAGCCCGTCCTCTCCACACCCAGACTGCCCCACCATTCCTCCCAGCACAGGTGCCAGCCACACATGTGACCGCGTACAATACCTGGAGTGAGTCCAGGGCCCGTGCCCTGCCGCCAGGGGGCACTTCTCACCAATGAGGTGGCTCTATGCACTGTTGGGGAGGCCAGATCCTCTCCAGGGTCCTTGGGGCTGTGTTCTGAAGCATCCTGACTCCCCGTTATGCTTGCTGCCTGTGACCCCGACTTGCTGTGCAAGGCACCCTTCCCCTAGAGCGGGGGTTCTTGACCTTCCTCATGCTGCGACCCTTTAATACAGTTCATGTTGTGGTGGCCCCCAACCATAGTTATTTTCGTTGCTACTTCATAACTGTAATTTTGCTACTGTTATGTCTTAGGCGACCCCTGTGAAAGGGTCGTTCAATCCCCAAAGGGGTCGCGACCCACAGGTTGAGAACCGCTGCCCTACAGCTTCTCACAAATTACTGGTTCGCATGCACCCAGCCTAGAACAACCCAACCCAGCTGTTAAATGAAAACCTCGGAAGCCACAGACTTACACCCAACTTCATCCAGCTTGGACTTGGGGAAGCCCAGCCTGGAGTGGGCCTGGGGCTGTAGTCATCAAGGGTCGGTCAGAACAAGGGCATGAGAAAAGGCTTGAAGGAAATAAGGCGGGAGCCGGTGTCAGACCCAAACTGAGCAACAGGCACACACACCTTCATTCCAGGTGTGCGGGCTGCACGTGCACTAGCATAAGACAGAGAGTGACCGAGTTGGGGCGGGGGGGCTTCCTGTCTGCTGGTGAGAGGACCTGTCCATACTGACGGCCTCTCTGCAGCTGTCCCTCCACCCCAGGCCAGGCGCATGGCCCCTCACCCCCTGGCATTTCTTTACCATCCCACCCACTTCTGCAGGGAATACCTCGTGAGAGAAAGGCCTGAGACAGTGAATTGGGATTTTAATTCCCTATCAAAAGTTGATTTCTTCTTCATTCCATTCAAGGAACTTTCCCCCAGTTCTTGTCTTTGTCCCCTGTTGGTTTGAAGTGTTAGACTGTAGCTGCTGGTGTGTAAATAATGTACATAGAGCGAGAAGAAAGAATCTTGATATTGAGGTGTTTGAAATATGGACCTGTGATAACTTCTAGGTATTCTAAACCTGTGATTTCTGTGCCATTTTCTGTAAAGATACAAGTCAGAATAAAATTGATGTAAAAACAGCAGGGGAGGGATCCAGGAGTCCTCCCTGGGTATGTGTGTGTGTATGGGTAGCATAAAAAACAAATCCATGAAGTTATTTTTAGGTCAAAATTGCTAGATTCCTTTTTTTTGGTGGTGGTGGGGGGGTTAATCCTCACCCGAGGATATTTTTCCATTGATTTTTAGATAGAGTGGGAGGGAGAAAAGGAGGAGAGAGAAACCGATGTGTGGGACCCGCGACCCTTTGGTCCGATGGCCGATGCTCTAACCGATGAGCCAAACTGGCCAGGGTTAGATTCCTCTTCTAAAATTACCCCAACTGCAGAGGTACCGTGGCCTGCCTTTCTCCACTGAGCTGACATTTGTCACCTTTCAATGATGTTTATCACTGTGATATGGAACCCTCCTCCATTGCAGGCACATCTAAACCATCCCAGCCCTTGAGCCCCTAAGTTATTACCTATGACTCCCTCCTGCTCCCTACACAATAGATTACACTGACCTTTCCCTCTGATACTTACTTATGAACCACTCTATTTCATTCACACCTCAGGAGAAGCCTGCAGCCCACCTTGACCCCCAAGAACCCGGACTCCCTTCCTTTTGTGTACACATGTGCACTTGAATATCTTACATCACAACATTAATTACACAGCAACAAACGGAAAAGGCAATGGTATCTGGAGCTGAAAGCCAGCCAAACGAACCCCTGCTAAATCCCTGTCACAGAGAAGGGAGTAAACAGACAAGCCGAGGAGGACTGCAGGAGATTGCCTACAGGCGGCGGGGCCACCTGCTGACCACGTGCTGGATGGAGTGGCAGCAGGGAGCAGAACGGACAGGTTATGTTTGAGCTGTTGGATCAAGAAATCTCATGATTGTTTCAAACTGGCTCAAGTGTGGAACTCATTATCACCCCCTGGGCGAGGAATGCCCGTCCCTCGCTCTGCCCACCTCCAACACTCATCCTTCAGGGCCCCCCCCAGGAAGGACGCAGAACCTGTTTTCTCTAGCATGTGGGACATTCCTCCATTAAGGCATTTTATGCATTGTGTTGTAATTTCTTATTTACAAGTCTGTCTTCTCCACAAGACGTATTACTTCAAGGGTGCGGATTATGTCTTCTTCATTTTATCCCAGGACACAACAAAGGGCCCAACACTCAATCCATTGTTAAATAAATGAATGAACGAATCAATGAATGAACAAACGAACGAACACACTTTCTTCCTTCAACTCCATTCATTCAGTAATTTGAAAAACATTTATGGAGTATCTGTGTATCAGCCAGTGGACAAGGCACTGAAGATAGAATGGTGGGCAAAGCTGTCCTCTTTGGAGGGAAATACAGACAGAATTCAAGTAATCACACGAATAAAATACAAAATTGCAAATGTTCTAAGGCGTTGAAGGCATAAGATAAGGGGCCATGAAAACATAACCATGGGACTTGGGTCAAGGTGTTTAACCTCTGGGCCTCTCTCTCCTGTGTTCTAAATCAGAAAGTGCTCAACCAGTCCCACAGTGGTGCCCGTTCCCACATGAGCACAAGGGAAGGTGGCCACACCAAGGCAGCCTCGAGCCTGGGGTGTGTCCTTGGCAACTGCCCCACTCAGATCTGGGGGACAATTGGACACTCAGAGGCTTGGGAGCTGCCAGAAATCCTCCTGGACCCTCACCCCAGGGAACTGACCCTGGTGTGCAGCTCTCTGAAGAGAGACATCATGCAAATAGGCCTGTAGGTGATCAAGGGGGGGGGGGGACCCTGCAAAGGAAAGAAACTGGATGGGAAGGGAGGGGCCTGGACAGCAGGGCCCGACAGGGCAGGGCCAAGAGAAATCTTACTGACTGTTCCCCCATGAGGGGTGTCTCAGGATCCCTGTGCCTGGAAGGGAGATTTCATTCCAGGCTCCACAGGTTGTGTGCACCACCAAGAGCAAGAGAGTCTAAAAGGGCAAGGAGCCCTGATTTATGAGGGCTGCTTGGAGCTGCTAAGCAGGCCCGGCAGACGGAGGAGGAGTCTGGCGAGAGAAGGCGACAGGGCGGGGGAACTCCCCAGGCCAGTCCTGTGGCCTGCAAGAAGGCGGGGCCATGACCTGAGGGATCTCTGGGACTGGTCCGACAGCCTCTCTCTCCTGTACCCCCGGCTCCCTGGAGGCCTGGCAACCTTCCTCCTGCTCCCACCAGAGCGGCAGTGCCCTCCTCTCCGACTCCCCCGGAGTGTGGGGATGTGGCACCCCATCTGGTTTCCACACTAATGTAAGAAGTTACTCGTAGGGGAAACTGGCAGAGGGGTTACTGGAACTCTGTACTCTCTTCACCACCGTTATATACATCTAAAATTATTATAAAAATAAAATGTATTTACAAAAATAAACGAGTTTGCCCTGGCCGGTTTGGCTCAGCGGTTAGAGCGTCGGCCTGCGGTCCAGAGAGACCCGGGTTCGGTTCCCGCTAAGGGCACGTACCTCGGTTGCAGTTTGTCCCCGGCCCTGGTTGGTCGTGCGGGTGGCAGCCACTCAATGTGTCCCTTTCACATCGATGTTTCTCTCTCTCTATCTCTTCCTCTCTCTCCCTCCCACTCTGTCTGTACAAAAAAATGGAAAAATGTCCTCGGGTGAGGATAAATAAATAAATAAATAAACAAACGAGTTTGTTTTCTAGAGGGAAAACAACAGAGGGTTAGAACTTTTGCCTCCTCCTTTCCGGTTCCTGTCTCAGGACTGTGTTTGCTGAGTGTCGCGGTTCAAGACCACAAGATCATCCAGCACCCAGACCCGCGGGCCTCAACTGGTTCTGTCTCTTGGTGTTTCCTTGCTGCTCTTTCTTATTTAGGCCTCTCTCCTGTCCCCTCCTCCTGCCTGGCTGCTCCTCAGCTCAGGCAGCAATGAAGTCTCTGCTTAGTCACAGCTGAGCAGGCCCCGCAGTGCTCTGCTCCATTCATTTCTCAGATCCCTCCCTCCCAGTGCTAACCCTTCTCGGTGGCTGTGGGCCTCCTCCGCCCCTGATTCCTCCCTGATTCCTCCCCTCCGACTTACCTGTATGGCTCTGCTCCCAGCACGCACTGGGAGTGTCACAGGAAGGGGTCAGGGTCAGGATGAGGTGGCCCTCTGACTGTGGATTTTCCGATTTCTCCTTGTTTAATTCTGCCTTGTCTGTTGCATTTGCTGACTCATCCTCCATTGTCTGCTTGTGTTTTGTAAGTTAATGTGACAGCTCTTCCCTTTTTTCCTGTGAGATTACTTGGATTGCTTAAGCATTTTTTTCCAGTCCTCACCTTGGGCCTGGTCTTTGGTCCCTGCTTGGACATTTAAAATGCAAGTTCTGCCCTGGCTGGTGTGACTCAGTTGGTGCACCAAAGGGTTGCGGGTTTTATTCCTGGTCAGAGCACATACCAGTGTTGTGGGTTCAATCCCTGGTCGGGATGTGTATAGAAGGCAACCAATTGATGTTTCTCTCTCTCCATTCCTCTCTCTCTAAAAATCAATAAAAACATATCCTCGGGTAAGGAATAAGTAAGTAAATTAATTTAAAAAATGCAAGCTCCTAGTCTGCAGTCACCCGCTGACCCCACACTCTCATCACTGCTCTGGGTCTCATGCCTGGGATTTCCCTTCTGGTTTCCTAGTTAAGCATGAAACTTGTTTTCATCATATTCCAGTCATCTCTAGGTGATCTTAATGAGAATTTTTTCACCAGCCTAGTCCACCACTTTCCCAGAAGTTCCAAGGCTGTAAAACCTGAATAATTGGTTCTCTCTCTCTCTCCCTCCCTCCCTCCCTCTCCTCCTCCTCCTCCTCTTCTTCTTCCTTCTCCTTCTCCTTCTCCTTCTCCTTCTCCTTCTCCTTCTCCTTCTTCTCCTTCTCCTTCTCCTTCTCCTTCTTCTTCTTCTTCTCTCCTTCCCACCACCCACCCAGTTCCCCAGAGGAATCCTTCCCCCAATTCTGACATCAGGCTATCTGCTTGGATTTGTTTCACTTGGTTCTTGTCAACCCCCTCCCACCACTGACACCTTCTTCTCCAGTTGTCCTCTTCATTCAGAAATAAGTGATTATGTTTGGTTAGGCAGAGAAACCATGAAAACAGTACATTTTCTTTCAGCCTTTTGTTTTGGCTGGTGGCAGTCTGGCTGGAAGAATGCAAGTC